AAAATGCATGTTTTACATTTTATTTCCTATATTTCAAACAAAAGCTTACAAACACTAAGTGATATGATGAGAAACAGAGATCACTGAGCGCTTTCCGTAGCAAGGACTTCACAAGTCGAGGGCCTGACCCCGAGACTTGTTTAAGTGTGCAAGAAGCTGAGATCACTTTAATTGGGATCTGCTCATCTGCTTAAACACCACCAAGTCTTTGCCATATTGAGTACAAAAGGTGGAAATAAATGCCCAGAAAATTCCATTTCACCTTTGTAAAATGACAGAAACAAGAAAAAATACTCCCCTACATGGTCTACGAAATGTTTTTTTAAAAAACCAAACACCACAGTTAATAGCATTACTTCTACAGAAGGCTTCCTTTGTAACTCAAGTCATCAGCAGGGAAAAGGAACAAGAGCTACTTACATTTTGATAATTTGCATGTTGAATACTCCCTATGAGTAAAAAATGTCTCACTGCAAGTCTGATTTCATCAGTGCTCCATGTGAACAACGAAAATTCACACAGAGCAAAATCTGCAGAGATTTGGGAAAGGACAGAATGTGAGAACTGACGTCAGTCTGACCAATGAACGAACCACCTGTGTCCAGGCTGAGCCAGACAACACAGACTGACTTGGGAAAGTGAAGACACAATTGAAACGCATCGTGGAAATCCTAACGTAGTCCTGATGCTTGCTAAGAAATAAACTAACTGCAATTTCCCTCTTACTTAAGTGCCACTGTAACAGAAATGTTGTTTCAGTGGTTTCATGTTATCATTATGGAAATACGAGTACTGATTTTTAAAACATTTTATCCATTGCATCCTGCTCTGTGTGCTGCTGTTCAGTGATAAAGCACAACTTGTTTTTCTTCCAATCAGCCATTGCTGAAGACTTAAACAAAATCAATCCCTTACCAAGTTGCACTGCAAAATAGAACCCCACCAAAAAAAGTCTCTCTGAAGGCTGAAAGAGAATGAGTATGTATTGAAAACAGAGAAGTATTTTCTATGACTGCCGTTATTTATTCATTTATTTTTAACAGGTATCATATGTTCAATTAACTATTCACTGACAGAGTTCTACACACCAAATGAGAAAAGGTAAAGGGAGTAATGTAAAGGCCAGAAAATTCATGGAATATGTCAGTACTGAAACAAAAATACTAAATTCAGGTTGAGTTTAGAAAAAAGCTGAAGTCCATGAAATTCACAACCTGCTTACGTGAGGCTTAGTTTGGGCAAAGAAATTAGAACTAGGAAGCTCTGGATTAGCAAAGGAATGAAAAACTTTTAACACCTAGAATGGTACGAATACATGGCTACACATCTGTACATATATACATACACTACACACTTTCTATACACTGTACAGAATATATTTAGACAGGTAGGTATAAACATATACATTCATAGACACATACATACAACTATGTACATATGCATTAGCTGCTCGAAGGAGTTTTAGAATTGAACATGTTGAAATGCACAGTGGTGGGAGGCACAAAATAAAGATATGTAAAAATCTACCAAACCCTTTCAAAAGAAGGCAGATGGACATGGATTTAACAATAACAATCCATTGTCAAAGCATTCACGTAATGCAGAGGATAAAACAGGCTGTGAGAATTATGGAACATGATGACAGTATTACCTGTGATGAACTTAGCATGACTTCACAACTAAAAGTTCAGTAACAAGGTAATTCTGGGGTTCGACATTTTCCAAGTCTAATATGTTTAGACTTAGAGCATTTAAACTTTGTGAAGAATTTTACTTTAACTTGCAACCTCAGTTTAAATAATGCTCTCATTTTTTTTGCACATCTAATTTCTCACATAATGTTGATAAAATTGACTGCAGTAGAAGTAAGGTTGTAGCATTATCTAACAAGAGAGGCTGCAGCATGTTTCATCAAACAATAAGCCTGAACTTAGTTCAGGAGAATTTACTGCAAAAATGGCCCAGCAACTTTAGAACCAAAAGGTGCAAGTAGTAATTTTTTCCTTTTCTGCCCTTTGCCATGCCCTCTTGGTAATTTCTCATATAAAACTGTTTTTAAATCTCATTTTTTGTTATGCAAGACCCAGCTGATGCTGGTGATCTGTCCTCCCTCTGTCCCTCTCTTGGGGAGCACAGCCTGGCTCTGCTGGCTCTCCCTGGGTGTCTGGAGGCAGCAGGACCGTGCCCGTGCCCAGAGCACGCCACCGCTTCCATCAGTGCGGAAAACTGCTGGGACAGATGGCAGCCAACTTGGTGTTTGCCTGGTATTTTGCTTTTTCTTTTATGGCCAAGAGTAGGTGAAGAAGAACCAACCTACCCTGCCTTTGCACTCTAAAGAGTAACTGGAAGAGAGGGATTTCAAATAACAAAACAACTTTTTTTTTTCCTTTACCTTTTCCTGTAGGTATTTGCTGGTGCCAGTTCTGCTGCTCACACCAACCAGGTCAAGCAGGGCCCCTGCCTGGTGCTGTCGCTGCAGAAAGCGGCTTTGATCACTGCTCTGGCAGTGTCCTCGGCCCAAGAATTTCCAGTTCCCTTTTTCCTGGCTAAACTGCGTTCCTGATACCCTTGGTACTCAAGCTATTTGGTGCTTTTAAAAAATTATTCCTTACTAAGTAAACAGCAGGTAATCAGGGAAGAATCCTAACTACCCTCTTCATTTCAACGTGCAGGAAAATGTACTGACATCTCCAGCACCCTGGATGAAATCCTTCAGGAATCTGAATATCCTGTGCTATATACAACGCTGAAAACACTGAAGTATTTTACAGCCTCTGCCAAAGAAGAAACAGAGTCAGGAAACGGCTCTGGCCTGAGACCATCAGCCCCGAGTCGTTTTCCCATCGCTCCTCGGTTCGTGCTCCTGGCCATGGGACACTGTCGGGGTG